CCTGTGGCTATGATGATCATCTTCAGCAAGCTGAACACAAGCACACTGTGCAATTGGAGTTTTAGTCTGAAATGCAATCTTTGAAGTATCCTCATCAATCATAGATACAGATACCTTGTCTTTATAGTTTTTTTTGCACATTAAACCTGCTAAAACATTCCCTATACAAATGATACATGATTGCACCAGAGTAAGAATTTAAACTAATATCATAACTCAATATGCCCATATTAAGAGTTTGTTAATTTATTCTGGGAGTTAAATTGCTTTAATATAGTTAAAAATAAACTCCCAAAAACACCTTTCCACCTCATTGTAAGAGGTTTACTGCAAATCTCCTTTATTTCTTTTCCCTGGAAGATGAACAACACGGGAATACAAATGATCATCTATGCTAATGCGTAATCTATTCAGAGGAGCATGTTGCTCTCTTACTACAAATACTTATCTAGTGTTCAATGGGATGCAAGTATATTTTCATTTTCTTTTGCACATGTTTAACTATTATATAATTCAGTTTGTTCTTGTTTTTTTTTGCTTTATTGTTTGTTTTTTTCGACACAAAATAAATGTCTAAAAGAATAACAAAAGTAATACAAGTAATATATTGTAGTATTGTATTGTACTGTAAACCATTGTTACTGCTATCATCTGTTATAGCCTATTACTTGCTATAATTATTGTAGTAAATTGACATTTAATATTATAACATTTTGTGTATTTTTTCTATGCACATATTCGACCATAATACCAAGAACTATAAAAAAAAATATTAATGTAACTTATTTCTTAATTATTGTATATTAACTAAAATTCATATTTAAGCCACGGTCACAACAGATCCCTAGTAATTGGGCATTTTAAAGTACTGCTTAGATTAATGATATCAATTTTAAATTCACTTCTTTATCCCCAGCAATTCACACTTTAGTAAATACTCTGATGATGTTCCAATGTATTGGTAGGCCATGGTTTTCTTTATGTGTTTATTTTATTTGATGTCATTCAATCCTTTTTTTGTTTGGGAAGCAGATTAATTTGTGTATGCAAACCATTATATAAATTAGTATGTTAAGCCTTTTAAAAAACTTAGAAACACTATAGTGTCAGGAATACAACACTAGTTTTAAAAGCTATCATTAGGTGCCCAGTCCCCCTCTCCTTACTTTAAAAAGGAGTTTAAGCTCACCTTTTCTCCAACGTAGAGCCAGTCTCGCCACAGCTGACTCCGCCTCACTCCACCTCCATGGCTGAGATCAAATTTGACTATCTCAGCTAAGCTATGGCTTTTCCATAGGAAAGCACTGGGAGGCTCATCTGCATGGGTGGCAAAACGCTGCACCAATCAGCATCTCCTCATAGAGATGAATTGAATTAGAGCATCTCTACGATGAGCATCCAGCGTCTCCATGCAGAGCTTCCTTTCCAAGGGCATTATTTTATATATGTTAAATACTAATAGAAATTAAATAAATATAGATATATTTATTTATTTTTATTCACTGCTCGAAACTTTTACTTTCAAGTTCCAGCTGTTGTTTAAACGTGTACCCTGTCCAAAACAATTTGATCAATTTGATTGTCTCTGTTGAAGTTGTTAAGAGAGCACTTACTGTGCTATTCCAGGTTGAATAACCAGATTGCTATTGATAAAACCATTTGACCCAAATGTTAAGTAGACATTTGTATCTAGCAGTGCCGGTTCATCCATAAGGCGGCACAGGCGGCCGCCTTAGGGCGCGCGGGCTCTAGGGGCGCAATATTTCAGTGACCGGCAGGAGGGAAGCTCTCCCTCCTGCCAGGCCACCATCTCGACCCCCGGCGCAGCGTGCGGCAGTGCTGTGATCAGGCGCGGCGAGGGAGCTCTAACCTCTCTGCTCCCTCGCGTGCTGCCTGCTGATGCCGCGGGAGCCGGAATATGACGTCATCCCGCAGCATCAGTAGGCAGCCCGCGAGGGAGCAGAGGGTGGAGATTCGAGCTGCGCCTGATCACAGCACTGCCGCACGCCTCTCAGCCCCCCCAGCCCTCAGGGACCGATCCATCATCCATACCAGCTCTCCAGGTAGGGAGGCTGGGTGGAAAATGTCTATTTATAAAATAATTAGTGAATGTATGTGATATGTGTCTGTGAGTGACTGTGTGTGTGTGTGTGTGAGCGACAGTGTGTGTGTGTCTGTGAGTGACTGAGCGTGTGTGTGTGTGAGTGACTGTGTGTGTGTGTGTGAGTGACTGTGTGTGTGTGTGTGACAGTGTGTGTGTGTCTGTGAGTGACAGTGTGTGTGTGTCTGTGAGTGACTGAGCGTGTGTGTCTGTGAGTGACTATGTGTGTGTGAGTGACAGAGTGTGTGTGTGAGTGACTGAGTGTGTGTGTGTCTGTGAGTGACTGAGCGTGTGTGTCTGTGAGTGACTGTGTGTGTGTGTCTGTGAGTGACTGAGCGTGTGTGTCTGTGAGTGAGTGTGTGTGTCTGAATGACTGAGCGTGTGTCTGTGAGTGACAGTGTGTGTGAGTGACAGAGTGTGTGTGTCTGTGAGTGACTGAGCGTGTGTGTCTGTGAGTGACTGAGCGTGTGTGTCTGTGAGTGAGTGTGTGTGTCTGAGTGACTGAGCGTGTGTCTGTGAGTGACAGTGTGTGTGAGTGACAGAGTGTGTGTGTCTGTGAGTGACTGAGCGTGTGTGTCTGTGAGTGAGTGTGTGTGTCTGAGTGACTGAGCGTGTGTCTGTGAGTGACAGTGTGTGTGAGTGTGTGTGTGTCTGTGAGTGACTGTGCATCTGTGTGTGTCTGTGAGTGACAGCATGTGTGTGTGTGTGAGTGACTGAGTGTGTGTGTGAGTGACTGAGTGTGTGTGTGTCTGTGAGTGATTGTATGAGTGTGTCTGCATGTGAGTGTATAAGTGTGTCTGTCAGTGTATGATGAGTGTGTTTGTCAGTGTATGAGTGTGTGTCTGTCAAATCAGTGAGAGTATGTTTGTCATTGAGCCTGTGTGTGACTATCAGTGTGTCTGTCAATGAGTGTCAATCAGTGTGGGTCTGTCAGTGTCAATGAATGAGTGTGTGACAAATCAATGAGTCTGTGTCTGTCAGTGACGTCTGTGTGTTTGTCATTGAGTGTGTGACTGTCAGTGTGTACAGAGTGTAGCGGAGCAGAGCGCGGTACAGGAGCTTCTGTTTCCTGTACCTGGCCAGACTGACATGGAGGTGCTCAAAGAGAGAGTACTCCCTATCAGTCCAGCCGGGTACAGAAAACTGAAGCTCCTTTAGGGGATCTGCTCCGCTCGGCAATGCAACAATAGAGGTAGTAGGCACACCAGGAAGGGGAGTGTGACCACTAGAGGGGTGTGGGGTGCACCAAGGGACAGGGAGGGAATGGGAGAGAAACATCAAGAGACAGGGAAAAGAGGGGGGAGAAGAACACTGAGGGACAGGGAAGGGACCACTAATGGTCGGGGAGGGGAGAGGGGCTGGTTAAGAGGCACATAGGTGAAGATGTTTTTTTTTTGGGGGGGGGACGGAAAAATGCATCTTCACCTATGTACCTAAAAATCCAAGCACAGGCCCTGATATCTAGGCACCCTTGCTGCTTAAAGTGTCCCAGAGGGTGTAAAGCAATATTCATACATTAATATCCCTCTTCCAGAATATCAATATCATTAAAGTATAAACAATAAAAGTATATATATTGTATGCTTACTTATAATGTGTGTGTGTGTGTGTATATATATATATATATATATATATATATATATAGTATGTTTCATTTTAATGTGTGTATATATATATATATATATATATATATATATATATGTATAAGTATCAAGGGAGGTGTACTCACAGGACTTTGTAAATAAATCTCTTGAGAAAGTCCCACAGAGGACGGAAACATCAACACATTTTTTTTTTGTAACTTGTTCTTTATTATTTTCAAATATTATGGGGTACAGAAGGCAAAAGGGGTGGGGGACAATAAGGAGTTGTGCAACATGACAAAGATTGTAAGTAATACATACACTTTCATGCATTCTTCAGTGCTATTAGGTTGAGGGCTATATCACATTAGAAAATGTAGGTTGTATGGGGAAGGCCCTTTGTGTAGTTTAAACGGTCAGCTTTTAACTTGTCAGTTGACCTTTGGGAGTCTGGGAGCTTGCTTGCTTTTTATGTTCTGTCAGTGGCTCCGTTTAGAGGTCTTTTTACCCAGTATCTGATATGTGGTTGTCTGGTTCAGATCAAACAGGTTTTGCGGGGTGAATGTGGTAATATAGTGATCCGTGGCTAGTAATTGAGTTATGCAGCTCTGCCAGGGCGTCCTTGTTTAGGGTGTCAGTGAGGTCGAAGGAGGTGGGGGGGAAGACTTAGGGAAGGGTGTGATGGATAGGGTAACAAGGGGGTATTGGGTGCGGTACCAGGTAGCGTTGTTTTGTTTGGTAAGGTGTTGTGGTGGGATGTTAGACATAGTCGGGGTCTAGTTTTGTAAATTAGTTCTTGGTCATGTTAGCCTTGTGTCGCATTAGGCTGTGATGTTTTGTTTAGGTGTTGTTGGTTTTTGTAGGTGGGCTCTCCACATCTTGGCAATGGTTGGGCTTAGCATCCCTATGTTCAGTTGGTTCCACATAAGGAGTTCATAGTCTACTGTTGCAGACATTAGTGTTGTGATTTCTGAGACTGAAGGAAGTGTGGGGGTCTTCCAGTTCCTGGCTATCAGGGTGGACACAGTAGATAGAATGAGGAATATCATTTTCCGTGTTGGTTTGGGGATGTTATCTGGAACTAACTTGAGAAGTACTGCTGCTGGGTCGTGTGGTAAGGTATAGTCTGTGATTTCTCGGATCAGATGTTTGGTGGTTTTCCAAAGCTCATTTACTGTATCGCAGGACCACCATATATGAAACATAGTGCCTGGCATCACCAGCATATCTCCGTTGTGGCAGGGCATATGGAATGTAGTCGGGAAGGTACCATGTACCACCTATAAAGTATTTTATGTGATGTCTCGAAGTGGGCAGCGCAGGTGGTTATTTTGTCGATATGGTGGAGGATCTCTTCCGTGGTGATGGGCATGGCGAGTTGTGTTGCTTGTTGTGAGCGAATTTTGGGGAGTGCTATCTTGTTGAGATATGTTCTTATGGTCTTTGAAGTGGGTTGGGGCGTGTTGGGATGGTCTTGCAAGTTATGTAGGGTGCCGTAATATTGAGCAAATTCATTGCATATTTGCACAGGTTGCATTACTTTTTGCCCGGATTGTGTGTAAATGAATTGTGTTCTCGTTTGTACTTGCTTGGTGCGGAGTCTTTGTGCTAAAAGTTTCGTAGCCTTGTTTCCCATTGAGTAGGAAGTGGCTTTGAGTTTTTTCAGCGCTGTGTTTGCTTTGAGCAGGTGGATTTCGTGGATTTCATTGTGCGTGGTTTGTATTTGTTGTTGGAGAGCTTGGATGGGGTTCACCTGGTTTAATCTGTGAAGGTCTTGGACCTTTTTGAGGAGTGTGATCATTGCTGTGTGTCTGATCTTTTTAAGATAGGCTGCCCTACTTAATAGTATCCCTCTAATAACTGGTTTGTGCGCTAGCCATAGTGTGGCAGGGGTGGGTCTGTGAGGGGCATTGGTTGTAAGGTAGAGGTTCAATTATTTGCGTGTCTTCTCCATGAAGGAGGGGTCTTTGAGAATTTGTTTGTTTAATCTCCAGGGGCTTCCGTTTTTAGATTGGTATGTGTCTGTGAGGGTTAACGAGACTGGGCTATGATCCGATATTGTGGATGTGTTTATGACACATGACCTGACCTGTTGTAAGTGAGCGTTGCTCATTAACCCATCTATGCGGGAGTACGTATTGTGGACTTGGGAGTAGTGGTTATATTCCCTAGTGTTAGGATGTAAGGTTCTCCATATATCGTAGAGGCCATATGAGGACAGTAGTTTATTCATGGTATTGCAGCATTTGTATAGGGACGTTTTGCGTTTTGCGGAGTGTCGGGCTGTGGAGTCTGCATTGGGATCTAGTATGTGATTAAAGTCACCGCTGATGACTGTAGTGCCTGTCTGGTGTTTCTCCACGTTGGCGAGGAGTGAGGCTAGATACGGCCTCTCGTTGTCGTTAGGAGAATAGGAATTCACTAATGTGTAAGTATTGTTGTTCAGGGTGCATATTAATATGATCAATCTGCCTTGCGGGTCAAGTTGGAGTGAGATGAGATCAAAGGCTAGAGAGTGGCTCAGTAGGATAGACACTCCTTTGCTCTTAGATGGGGAGGTAGCGTGGAACTGATGTGGGAAGTTCTTAAGTCCAAGTGTTGGTTTAGAGTCGTGTCTCCTGTAAGCAGACTATGTCTGCTTGTATGTTGTTTAGCTCCCTAAGGAGGGTGTGCCGTTTGTTGGGCGAGTTGAGCCTGCAAACATTGTAGGTAAGTATCTTCATTGTTTGGGAGTTATATAGTAGGGCTGTTCGTCAGTATTGGCGGGAAGGGGGCGGTGGCAGGTCTGCTGGGGTGGTGGGTTTGTCCGAGTGCCTGGTCTTGGTTGGCAGCTGTCAGTGGTTTAGTCGTGGCCTGGTACCTAGAGATGTGAATCAGTTGCGAAATGCAAAATACAAAGCAATATAGAGCAAACTAATACAGTTAAACAATCTAACAATTAATAAGTAATAAGTAAAGAAAGTATCGTATAATGGTGACTTTCAGAGGTATGTGCTGTAACTATGGCACTTCCTAATTGGGGGTGGTGTGAGCAGGTCGGGTCATATGGAGGCCGCTCAGGGCTCATTTTTGGGTCGGATTCTCTCCGGCTCTGTTTTTCCCTTGAAATTAACATTATGGCGCAACCAGCGCCTTTATAAGGAGCAAGATGTCTTAGTATAGTGGTGGAGGCAATGGCTACAATGGTTGGTGCCTTTCAGGTCTGTGACAGCAAAGTTAGCGTAACGTTTGTGGCAGTGGGTGTATGAGGGGTCACATACGTTGCCCCAGCTCTCTTTAGTAGAGTGCGTCAGGGGGGATAAGGTATGGGTGTTTATATGTGAGTTCTCTAACATAGCATGTCATAGACTAACACATTGTATAACAGTTAGGCATTGGGGAAAACTTGGTTTTAACTTGCTGTCTCTTGACGTCTTCTCTCGGGGATGTGTGTCTCGTTTTTTGAGGGCGCCATTCTTCTTCTTCTATGGTTTTGCTGGAAGCCTGGGGATTGGTTTGTAGGTTCCGGGACATACCCCATTGCCGCAGAAGGTTCAATCCTTCTCTTGGTGTGTTTTCTGTGAAAAGCTTGCTCCCTTTTGTGATGAGGAGCTTGGCCGGGTAGCCCCATCGGTACAGGACGTTGTGATGTCTCAGAGCGTCGGCTACATCTTTGAAGGAACGCCTGCGGCGTAATGTATCTGCAGATAAGTTCATGAACAGGAGGATGTCTCTGAACCGATCAGGTAAGACCTTTTTGGCTCTGTGTACCCTTAGGATTTGGTCCTTGATGTGATAATAGTGAAGTCTCATGAGGACATCTCTTGGCATGGTGGGCGGTCAGTGCTGCGGTCTGGGAAGTCTATGGATGCGGTCAAGGAGAAACATATCTGCTGGGATATCTGTCAGTATAGCTTTGAACAGCTCTTCAGCATAGGCTGTTAGATCTTTTGATCCTATGTCTTCCTGTACACCTCTCAGGCATATGTTGTTGCGGCGCGATCAGTCTTCAATATCTGCGATTTTAGTTTCATGGAGATA